ACAGGCTTCAAATTGTTTCAAAAAATGAATATTATACAGGATCACACATCCGTGCATATAACTTACTTAAACAAGGTGTCGTCGAAACGTACCCTTCACTGCTTGCCGTACACTCTGATAGATTCTACGTGATTTTTTTTTTGGTAATGCTGGTCACAGCCCATGAAATTGATTTCACCGCTCACTAATGGGTCCCCATCTTGCTGTTTGAAATTCATCATCTTAGAGCATCTCCCCCCGCTCTAGGGTTTTGTAAAGGTGACACGAGAGGCCAACTGTCCTGTGTGCCTGGTGGAGAAAGCAGGCAAGAGAACAGGACAACTGCCTTTGGAGGATGAGATGATGAGACAGGACATGGGCTCCCGAGAGGAGACAACTGGCTCTTACAAAGCCATCCGCAGGCAAAGACCCTTTTGGCTGTGGGCTGCCTCAAGAGAAGCAGAGACTGGCCTTAAGCCGCCAGCCTGGAGGCTGCAGCTTTGTGGTCAGAGAAGTGTAAGGAATTTCCCAAGGTGTGGGGGAGACCTTTCTGCCCTCCCTCCCTCCCCTTCCTTCACCCTCTCTTCCTTCCTCACCCCCTCTCCTCCTCTCTCTCCCTTCTCTTTCATCCTCCAAGGACAGCAAGAATCAGTAACTCAGTCACCAGCCAGGACCTGGCTGAGCTGGCTTCCTGTCTGGACCTTGCCCCTCCCTGGCTCACCACCCCGCTGAGCCCCATCCCTGCTCTAGGCCCTGGGGTGCTGGTCCTGGCCATTCCTGTCGGCTCTGAGAGGCCCTGTGGTGGCTGATGGCTATGGGCCTGGGCCAGGGGCCAATGGGTGAAGAGCCTCAGAGGCCTGTCCATAGGTGGCGGGGTAATGTATAACGGGGGCGTGGAGCGAGAGCCGCAGATGTTGGTGTTTTAATGCTTTCGTGACACAGCCCATCCCAAACATATAATTTTCATTATATGATATCAACATTTAGCTTCAGCAATGGAAATGTCAACTTTAATTATTTTCAAGGAGTCTTGATGGCTCTGGGAATAAATCAATATAAATAATGTTTTCACAAACTCTGAATCATGCTCCTAATAGCATTGTATCTATAATTTTAATATTCAAGACAATCTTTCTTTGCATCTTAGCAATTAATTGTTACCAAGTGCTCATTTTTTGGTTCCCCATTGCTGTCAGCTCAGAGCTAAGGGCTAGGGAGGGGGTGACACATTGGTGATCCCCGAGACCATTACGAGTTCTACTGCCCAAAGGGTTATTAGGCTCAGGATAACGTCTCTTCCCCAGAACCCTCCCCTTTCCTCTCAGCCACTTAGCTTACTCACTCTTCAGGCCCACCAACTCTGAGAGGGCTGGCAGGGACGTGTCCCTCCGCTATACTCACGTGGCACTCACCGGCTCCCGTCTGTGGCTCCCTGACCAGACAGCAGGGCGGGTGGAGCAGCACCACGAGCTCAGTTTTCCAAGGTGTGCCACCCACCAGCTGTGTGACTCTGGACAGCTGACAGGTGGCACAGAGAATGACGCCGGTGGATATGAGCGGAAATGGAATCTATTAAAGGACACCGGGAAGTCCAAACTCTGCAAGGGCCAGAGAATGCAGCCTGGACGTGGTCAACCAGGAGCAGCGTCTGAAATTCCGCGGCAGAGCTGCGTCAGAGGACACCAGGGGCAGCCCTAAGGCCCTGGCCCCTGCAGTTTGCACAGCAGAGAGACAGGCCTGGAGGCTGGGGGGCTGCTGGATTCTCTTGGAAGGACAGTTGGCTTTGGAAACTAGACATAGCCAGGCCACCACTGTCATGGCAATCAAGGCTTCTCCCGTCCCCAGGCTCCCACTTGAGGCTGAGGTGCGGTTGGGGGCAGGGGGTAGGGAGCTGTGCTGTGTGCGGCCTGGGGCTTGCATCGCAGCCAAGCTGCAAAGATGGGTGGAAGTGTTGTCACCGACTAGTTACCTCGAGGAACACAAGGGTGGGTTTGGATATTTTGTTTTTCCAAATCGTTCTTTTTCCTTTTGCTCTGTTAAGGAGATGCAATCGCCAACCTCCCTGAACCAGACCGAGCCTCACCAAGAGGTAGGCCTGTGACCTCGGCCTTATGTTTAAGGCTGCCATCTCTCTAGGAGGAGCTTAGACCTTATTGCCATAACCTGCAGTGTATGTGGAAGCTGTTTTCCAACTGAGTCTGTGCAAGCGAATACCCACCTCCCCCTTTTGAATATCCATCCCTCATCCTAAATAAATGTCCCTGCTTCCCTTTGTTGGGGGACTCGATGACTCCGGAAATGATTTCTCATGCTCTCCTATTTGCTGCAAATACCCTTGACTTTGTGTGAGGGCTACTTCTGGTGGGGAGTCCGATTTACCTCCCCAGGAGGGAACCCACTTCAGTTTGGGTACCAGAGCGAGTATCTGCTATTTTGCGTTTCTGTGAAACAACTGTAGGGGAGCAATTTGCAACCCAAAATATGTCTCTTAGCCATAGGGATTATTTTAGGCTGGTTATTTTCTAAGAAACAGCAGACACAGGAGGAGCTCTGAAAACCAAGTAGAAGTTTACGTCTGTAAGAGAAATCTCCATTTGTAAGGGTGTCTCCCTCGCTGAACCAGGGAGAGAAGGATGACTCTAAATCTCTAGAAATTTACCAATGGAGAAGGCAACCGATGGAGAAGTAACAACCGTCTCCTCGTTTACTGTGCTCTTCCTGGTAACCTCCCAGAGTGGACTCGTCCTACTCCCAACAACCTCTTTTGTCCTTAGCTGAAGATGCTATTTAAGGTGAGGGCTTTGGCCATTTTGGCGAGTTCCTCAGTTCTTCTGGGTCTCTCCCATGTGTATGTGTCATTAGACTTTTTGCTGATTTTCTCCTGTTAATCTGTCTCATGTCAATTCAATTCTTAGGCCAGCCACAAGAACCTAGAGGGTAGAAGGAAAATTTCCTCCTCGGCAGTGGGCGCAGCCAGCAGAATTCTCTTCCCTGGCTGGACACGGTTCCCTCCGAGGCTGCTGCAGCTGAGAGATCCTGGGACTCTGACAAGCGCCAGAGGAAGGTAAGAGTTCTTACCATGTCAGTCTCCCAGATCTCTGCCCACAGGGTCTGTTACAATCAGGAGTAGTAATGATGAGGATTTTAGCCTCATTAATTTTAAAACTGCAGATGAGAAGCAGGCTCCAAGGAGCAGAGTTTGCTTGCCCTTTGAGAGACATTTACATTTGTAAGGAAATCTCCATGCCTCCCCCTCTGCACCAGGAGGAAGGCAGGATGGCCTTATCTCTGGAAACTCTTAATGGGGAAGGCAAGGACTTAAGTTGGTTACTGTCTGGCAACCTCATGTAACTGATTTAGGGTGGTGGCTTCTGGCCTTTACTTAATCTGATTTGATTCTTATCTAAAAGTTGTGGGACCACCCAATGGCCAGACCCCACCTGCACTGATACCATACATGTTCTTTCCTTTGTCTTGTAAAGAGATGGCTCACATACCCATGCCTTAAATTTAACCTTACTCTCCACCCATATTGGCAGCAGTAGCGGGGGCAGCAGCAGCTCCTCCTGCCTGTGGGTCCTGTCCCCACGCAGCAGCTCTGCCTGCCCATGGGTCCTGTCCCCATGCAGCAGCAGCAGGAGCTCTGACTGCTCATGGGTCCTGTCCCCATGCAGCAGAAGCAGGAGCTCTGACTGCTCATGGGTCCTGTCCCCATGCAGCAGAAGCAGGAGCTCTGACTGCCCATGGGTCCTGTCCCCACGCAGCGGCAGCAGAAGTTCTGCCTGCCCATGGGTCCTGTCCCCATGCAGCAGCAGCAGGAGCTCTGACTGCCCGTGGGTCCTGTCCCCATGCAGCAGCAGCAGGTGCTCTGACTGCCCATGGGTCTTGTCCCCATGCAGCAGAAGCTCTGACTGCCCATGGGTCCTGTCTCCATGCAGCAGCAGCAGGAGCTCTGACTGCCCGTGGGTCCTGTCCCCATGCAGTGGCAGCAGAAGCTCTGCCTGCCCATGGGTCCTGTCCCCATGCAGCAGCAGCAGGAGCTCTGCCTGCCCATGGGTCCTGTCCCCATGCAGCAGCAGCAGGAGCTCTGACTGCCCATGGGTCCTGTCTCCATGCAGCGGCAGCAGAAGTTCTGCCTGCCCATGGGTCCTGTCCCCATGCTATTCCACACTATTCTCTAAATAAAAAGAGCACTACCGCCAGATCTTGAGAGTCCAAGACATCTTTCTTTCGACTCCTTGGCTCACCGACCCCGCATCAGTAAGAGTCATTTTTTCCCTAAATTTTGAATGAGCAGGAGGAAACATTTGTGGAACTAGTCAGTTGGGCTTAGCGACTATGGTAAATTTGGTAGAGTACTCTTGGCTTTACTGATGCTGACAAGAGATTTTCACATATTGAGGTATATGGGCTAACTATTCAGGTTCCCAACTTATTCACCTTGAACTAAGGAAGCCTGACTATGGCCCGTCAAGCTTACACTGCACATCTGCATAACCATTAAAGTCAAGAATGCACTCGCTTGAGATAAGAATGCAGACTTCCCCTCCTATGGTCTTTTGGTAATGCCCACCCATGTTAGTCCCTTTCCTGACATGAGCGTCATGTTGACCTGCTAATTTGCAACTAAATACCTCTTTGAAACTTTGAAAATGTATTCTGGGTGTGTTTAATGTATGTTCTTTGTTCTAAAAACATATAAGACTATACTGAAAATCATGCTTCTCCAGAAGACTGCCTAAGGCCTTCCCGGGTTATAATCCTCCTTCTGGCTCAAGTAAAATTTACCTTATTTCTTTTATCTATAGAATGATTATTGTTTATTTGCGTCCACAATCCTTTTCCTCCCAGAGATGGTCACTGTGTTTGTCCCTGTCTTTTGTGTCATTTATCGTGAATAACCTTTAGTCTGATCAGGTTTTCCTTTCCTCTTGTTCTATATCCTGAGAGCTTGGCTTTGTGACCGGTTCTCTCTGGTCTCTGCCATCTGGAAGGTGCACAGACCAGTGCGCATTTGGCAGCCAGTTGCATAGACTGGGATTCCAAGCAGCAGTAGCCAGTGGTCAGAAGCACAGGTAACAGCCTGGGCTTGCGGCCGGCATCTCTTTGTCTGGCAGTGCCAGTTCTCAGGGGAGTTTGCCATAAGGGGTCCCAGTCCGTAAGAGGCCTTTGTTGTCTCAACCTTTGTTGCTTTTTTGGTCCGCCTGTGCCAAGAAGGCTTTTACTTTCTTAGACTATCCTTGGAAGTGAACTGTCTGAATCTTGTGAGGGCTGTATCCTTAGCCCTCTCTTGGGGGACACCTCTTACATTGTTGGTTAAGCCATAAAAAGGCCTATTGGTTTGAGTCACTATTGAGATCCTACTTGTCAAAGGCCAGATAATGGGTCCTTAGAACTGGCTATATTTGAAATTATTTTTAGAGAGCTCTCATCTTCTTATTGGTACCTAAGGAAAGACTAAAAAGAGGACACAAAGGAATGTAACAAAGGAATGTAATGGCTAGCCTTGGGAATTCTCTTAACGAGAGGAAAGAATAGAAATTAGTTTAAGAGCACTGTCCATTATGAGGAATTTCAATTAGATAAGATCTCAATTAGATAAGAATTTAGAAAGTGCACTTAAACAGGAAGGCCATAGTTAAAGAATTTCTTAAACCCAGGGAGGATCCCCAGAAGTTTCTGTGGATGGATTACCTCCTGAGACTAGTGGAGAGAGAAAAAGGCAGAAAATTAGACGGGAAGCCTCTGATTGGACTGAACTCATGACCACAGCTGACATTCGGAGCCTGAGGGGAAGTTTTCTAGGCCTCCTCCCTAAGCTGAAATGAAACTGTGTACAAGGATTTACAGGAAAAGGATGAGGCAGTTAGGTAAGTGGATCAACCTGTAATGTTATTTAGGCAGCAACCCAATTCTCTGAGAAACTAAAAACAGCCGTCCTTGTTTTACAAATGGAGTCTTTATAGGACCAGAAGTGTGGCTCCAGAAATGATTCAAAGCCCACCTATTGTTTTTACCAATCCTAAAACAACACTGATTTATCTCAAAAAACTTGTAAGTGTTGGCTTTGGGAAACCAAAGTCCTCTCTGGAGGAACTTGCATTCTTTCCCTATGGCTTTGAGATGTAAATGTTAACTCTTATCAAGGCCATCTCTTTAACTACAAACTGAAGGGAGGCAAATCTTATCAAAAGAAAAAGAACAGGGGTGGCCAGTGGCATAGTGCTTAAGTTCAGGCTCTCCACTTCAGCACTTGGGGTTTGGATCCCAGGCACAGACCTATGCACTGCTTGTCAAGCCAAGCTGTGGCAGGCATTCCACTGGCACAGATGTTAGCTCAGGGCCAGTCTTCCTCAGCAAAAAGAGGAAGATTGGGGGCTGGCCCCGTGGCTGAGTGGTTAAGTCTGTGTGCTCCGCTGCAGGCAGCCCAGTGTTTCGTTGGTTCAAATCCTGGGCACGGACATGGCACTGCTCATCAAACCACGCTGAGGCAGCATCCCACATGCTACAACTAGAAGGACCCACAACGAAGAATATACAACTATGTACTGGGGGGCTTTGGGGAGAAAAAGGAAAAAATAAAATCTTTAAAAAAAAAAAAAAGAGGAAGATTGGCAGTGGATGTTAGCTCAGGGCTAATCTTCCTCAAAAAAAAAAAGAAAAGAAAAGAAAAAACAAAAGGGGAAGGTCATTTGGAACTTGACTTGTCAAGGACAAATACAAATCATAAGTGTCTTCTCTCCAAATATTAGTTAAAAAAAATCTTTAGCCATCTGAGCAGATATTTAACTTTTTCTAATGGCCAAACAAAATTTGGATCCAATAGTTCTTTTATAACTTGAATTTTGTACTATTGTAGCCGTCTCATGACTAAAGTTTTTTGAAAAACAAAAGCTATAAGATCTCTGTGTTGGCTTGTATGTTTGTGTGTCTATATACGTATGTTGTAGATGTCTGATATTTTTCCACCTCTGGATGGTATTGCTAAAGTTAATTTGTAAAGAGCTCTATTTAGTTGGGTTGAAGGGCAAGCACTTCTAAGGACTGGGTGTTTTCCAATACTCAGAAATACGGAAACCAACCCAAATGCTTCTCAAGTTTATGTGATCTAGGAAAATATTCTATATCAAAGCTAGTTTAAGTTTGTTGGTTGTATTAAAACAGGCACGTCTTTGGTATAACTAAGTATAAAATTTTTATTCTACTTAGGTTTACTAAAAGTCAAATAAGTTCATGTTGTGTCTTACAAAATTTGTCAGCAAGAAAAATAACTTGGTGTGACGAAATGTTAATAAGTAATCTAAACATAATTGTTGAAAATAAGTAAATTAAAAAAATGTAAGTGGGAAAGGAGTTCTAGGTGAGCTCTTTAGCAAATTATGTTTTGCAGTATGCATACTTAAAAAAACAGTTTCCCAAATCTCTTTGGTAACTTACAACCTTAGAATTTTGCTAAATTAAGTTAAATGATGGAAACTCATTGAATACTTAGATCATTTCTAAATAAGATAAAATATTGAACATTAATTACAAATGATAGCTTTATTTACTTTGGCTTCTTATTACAGAGAAAGTAAAAGACGTGTAGGTCTATTAATTATCTCGTCTTGTGCCACATTTACAAATTTATGCTATGATAAAATGTATGTCTCTAAAAATTATGAAGTGTTATTCATACACTTGCCAATCCCCAAAAAATGCTGGTATCACTGGAAATTAAGGTGTCTAAGGGTTGAGAATTCTAATTAATGTGTGTAATTAAGACAACTGAAAATAGGGAAAACATCTCTGAATTTCAAGGAAAGTAAGATATATGTTTTTGGTAAAAGAAAGGCTGAAGAATGGAAATGCATTTTTTTAAGGAGAAGAAAGTAATTTTTGGGCCAGCCCTGGTGGCCTAGAGGTTAAGTTCAGTGTGCTCTGCTTCAGCAGCCTGGGTTTGGTTCCCGGGTGTGGACCTACACCAGTCTGTCAGTGGCCATGCTGTGATGGTGGTTCACATACAAAAAGAGGATGATTGGCAGCAGGTGTTAGCTCAGCGTGAATCTTCCTCAGCAAAAGAGGAAGATTGTCACTGGATGTTAGCTCAGGGCAAATCTTCCTCAGCAAAAAAAAAAAAAAAAAAAAAAAGAGTAAGTTTTGTCCTTAGTAGAGGCTAAAAAGGAGGGAGAGAATGGAACAAAATCTGAATGTAAAAAGGAAGGTATATAGAAGGTTTGTGAAGGGGAAATCTTTGGAGAGAATTTTTATGCATGGTCAGGACTGGTTATGGTTAGAATGAATTTAATTGAGTGAATGAATTTTAATATCAAAAATAAGCAGGTGCAAAATTTGAAATTGGTTTTTCTCTCTGTTAAGAGGACAAAGTTTTCTTGGACTATTGATCTGCTTTTGATAACAGATTGTAGAAAGTTCTTTAGCTTTCAAGTAATCTGTTGTAACTTTCTCTATTTGCCTTTGAAATATTTTATTGTCACTTTGGTAAAGTGGATAATTAAATATTGTTTCGTTATGATCTGTGATTGTATATAGTCAAAAGTCCAAATCTTTTGATATTTTTGAAGAAACTTCCTAAAAATCCAGTTCTAAAGTCTTTTGACCTGGAAATAACCTTGAGATGTTTCAGAGGGCCCCTGAAACATCTCAAAGAGAGAAATTAAACTAATTAGGCTTATTTGGTGTGTTATAGTACATGGGAAATAGTGTCAAATAAATAATGATAAAAATCTTAGGTTATATTGCGTGAATGAATGTTATTAATATGTGTTCTAAAAATTACATAAAACTCCTAAAATTCTGATATGTCCTGGTGTAATGTTATCAATCATAATTTCAGTTTTTATCTTGTATGTCACAGAAATAACCAAGTTTGTCAATTGAATCATAATGTTAAGTACTTTGCCATTTATAGACAGCTGTTTTACTCTGATGCTTTTACAAAAATGCTTCATCTTAAAGAAGATTCATAAAGAGGACTTATATTTGACATATAGGTTTCTGACAACTTTAAGATCATAAAACTGAACTGGATAAGAATTTAAAGGGGCCGGCTCTGTGGCCGAGTGGTTAAGTTCCCGCGCTCCGCTGTGGCAGCCCAGGGTTCGGATCCTGGGCGCAGACATGGCACTGTTCATCAGGCCACATTGAGGCAGCATCCCACATCCCACAACTAGAAGGACCTGCAACTAAAAATATACAACCATGTACGGGGGGGTTGGGGGGGGGGGCATGGGAAGATAAAGCAGAAAAGAAAAAAAAAAGATTGGCAACAGTTGTTAGCTCAGGTGTCAATCTTTAAAAAAAAAAGAATTTAAAGAACTCTAAGAAACTAGATTCATAAAACAGCTAACAAAAGATCAAGATCAACAAGAATTAAATATCAATGAGACTAAATAAATTGATGAATATGATTATAAATTTTTATGACTTTTTATTTGAAATATTACTGATTCTTTAATCTTTGTTTTCAAGATTTAAGGAATTTTTTTTCTCTTGAGCTACCTATGACTTAGAGCAATTTGGTAAAATATATACCTTTGTGAACAATGGTGAAATAATTTTTCACCCTATCACATCTCTCTGGAATTTGGAACCTCTTAGGGGATATTCCTATTTTCACAGCAATATAGTTATTTACATAAGTTCAATAAGAATCTGTTCTTCTTGTTACAGGACACAATTTGAAACTGGTTATATTACCAAAGCTTTGACTAGAATGTCATATTTGAGAGAGACATGCACAGACACAGAAATGACCAAACAGCCTTAAGGAACGAAGATTGACTTTATGGTGCCAATAGTGCCCCTTGAAAAAACAGCCTGATACTTTGCTTACAGGGCTCCCAGCAGCCTAACCTGGTGAGTAAGGAAGGTCACCTGCTGGCATGTGAAGGAACCTCAGGACATTTTAGGGACCTCAAGAAGAAAGGAATTCACCCAAATCTACAGACGATGCAGGCAAAGTCTGATGGCAAGTCCTTGGCATGGTTTCTTAGCCTCAAGAGTATATTAAAAATTCAATCTG